ACCAAAATCCGAAGTCAGGCCACTTGGTTCTGTTCTCTACAGAAGGGAACATCTAAAGTGTTCCTTCGTCTCCTACCCAATTTGTTACCTGAAGTTGTTTCACTTTTCTTGACAGTAAGACTAATCCTGACTAATGTACATTATTACCTTGTTCACCCTTCAAATGCACAGAAACATTTGAACATAAATTATTACTGTTCTATGGTTGCAGAAGCAATTATTTGTCTGAGCAGAACTCAACCTGCTTTGGATACTTCTTTAGGGAGGATGTGGGGCTAAGGGTAAAACAGGTACGTGAAGCCCAAAGAGCTTCAGTCATTATGCCAAAGATGCACATTCCAGGCACATATTGCACATTGAAGGCTTTTTCTGACCACAGCCTCCTTCAATCTTCTTGTAAGATGAGAGATGGTTTTAACATTTCCTGATTTCTTGTTGGCACCTTCAAATGCCATCCCTCCCTCTTCACAAGTGTGGGGGCCTGTGAGATAGAATAGTGAGGGGTATGTGGGCCCCAAGGGGTCCATTTTTGCCAAGACATGCTCCTACGCAAAAGCTTCCTTGTTTGCAACAGAACGGACTTGTTCTGGGTATGGAAATTCCAGATGTAATCCAGGAAAATCTTGTGGGCAGATTGTTTCCCCCCCATATCTCTGAAGAAGCCGGTGATTTCTGCCCCCACAATTCTGATGGTGTAGCAATTACACCTGGATTATTTATTTTTCCCGGAGAAGTCAATTAGGGGAGTGAGACCTTCTTCACCTGACATCCAGTAAACCTCTGTCCTCATTATCAGCATTCCACTGGTGCTAAATGGATGCAGGAAGAAGAGGGAGGTTGGGAAGATGCTTTGCAGATGTTCTGCCTTGAAGGACTGAATTAATTCTCCATCACTGTCTAGGACACCTGATAACCTAGTATTGCTAGGTTGTGTATACATTCCTGGAAGAGATTAATGCCATTGCTATATACCCCCAGGGTTATATAATGATCATTGTATATCAAATCTGGGTAGTATGCATGACACAGCCTACCCCTGGGCATATTGCCATGGGGCAGACTGCCATTATTTCTTGGGGCGAGCATGATAGTCTCCCACCTGCCATGTGTTAATGCCTGGGGAATTCCATCAGGTTTCCAGAGTTCCTTCCCAGCTTCCAGAGGAGAGATGGGAGATGTCAACTGAACTGGACAGAGAGAGGGGAGATTGGTCGGAATTCTGCAGTTCTGCTCTTGGGCTTGGTTGTTTCTTTAATTTGATCTTAATTCCTCATCCACCCAGACTCATCTCTCCCCCCATCTGTTCCTCTTTGACCTCCTGGAAGTCAGCTTTTCTTCCTGGCTTTAGCCCACTTGCCTAGAGGGATTAGGCCAATTTTGGTCCCTGATCTCTGAATTCTTGCCCAGACTTGACTACAGAGCATAACTGGGACTGGCTGGTGTCCTCTGGCCTTGTCCCCAAGGTCACCACAGGTGGGAAGTTTACCACATCGCTCTCTGATCTGTGCCTGTGGAATGTGGCTGGGGGATTGCTGGGGGATTTAGACTCTTTGCTGTACCAGCCACTGAGCACCCCCCTCACCCACATTGGCTCCGCCTTTGCCACTTCAAGGGACCAAAATACCCCCTGAGCTCAGCCCAAGCCAGGCCAGCCCACCCCACCCATCACATGGATTAACATGATCCAGTTGCTGCCCTTTCTATGGGCAAGAGGAGGGGGGAAAGGGTAAGAAAAAAGGCAGATCAGGACTCTGGGTTTTTGTCCTCTGTATGGTCAGGAGAACAGTGGGTTAGGGGAGATTTGTCATAGAGGACAGTTCTCTTTTGGAAGGGTGGTCAGGGGACAATTGCCTGTAAGAAAGCAGCCCTTGTAAAAGGACTTTTTGGACCTAGTTCAGATGAAAAGAGTCATAGGAAGGAAGAGTAAGGAGAAGTGAAGGCTTTGGAGTTGCCCATCGTGATGAGTATCTGGGCAGCGGATTGAGTGAGTTGTCCAGTTATAGCCTTCCCCACTATAGTAAGATTGCCAAAGTTCACTTTAAATAATGATTCCTAAAAATGCATTTCCATTAATATACACATTCAGTATGTAAATAGTGTCCTACTTCTCAGAAGTAGGAGATTGTGAAACTGGTACTTGACTCTGAGGCTCTGTCTCCACAGAATTGTTGGAGACCCGCACTGCTCGCCCTTTCAGCTTCAACTTTAACACAAGTGATTATCGTATCTTGTTGGTGGACCAAGACCAGGAACGTCTCTACCTGGGGGCACGAGATTTCCTGGTGGCCTTGGATCTTCACAACATCAACAAGGAGCCACTAATTGTAAGTCTGAAAAAAGTCCTGCTGGATCAGTCCAGAATATTTATCTTACCCAACATTTTTCTGCAGTGGTTGCTGATTTCTTGGGTTGGGTTGACAGACGCCATAGGGTAAAGCAAATAATGCAGTGGGATAGGTAGATGTCTTGTGAGATGGATAGGGTTCATTGGGCTGCAGATCAAACTAAGAAAAGCCAGTGGCAGATGGCTGGAGAACTGAGAAAGCCAAAAGGGGTAGGAAGAGATCTGGCATCTCAAGACCATCCTTCTCTCTCTCTCTCTCTCTCTCCAGATCCATTGGCCAGCGTTACCAAACCAGGAGAATGAGTGTCGCCTGGCAGGGAAAGGGCAGAGAGTGAGTGGCAATTTTCTGCATTGTTACCCTGTGCTTAGTGTGTCTATTGGCTTGGCTTCAATGCATCAGGTCTCTGTGAACTGGAAAGATGTTTGGTTTTAAGTGTCCAAAAGCGATCTGATTTCTTGCATCTCTGGAAGGAAAATTGTTGCTTTGGGTTTTGTCCCAGTTGCTCTTTTGATCCTACATAGCCCAGGATCCTTATCTGCGTATTCCTGGGAAGAGGGAAGATACGAACATGGAGACTGTATTAACTCCTGCCTGACAAACTTCTGTCTTCCAGTCCATGTCTTACTTCTTCATGTCCTGTAGGGTGAATGTTTCAACTACATACGGCTTATGGAGCCCTTGAACCGTACTCATCTCTATGCGTGTGGAACAGGGGCTTATCATCCAGTCTGCATCCTTATCAACCGTGGTTGGCGCTCTGAAGTAAGAAAAATGACCCACAACCAAACTGCCTCCTGCTGGAAAAGAACCATAGAATAGCTTAGTGATAGAAGACATCCCTCTATTTTCAATGTATGGCATCTTCGGGGAACTCTGGGGAAGATAGTCTGTGCAGATGATAGTAATGAACTCAGCGGGCCAGTGGTCTACCTTGATATAAGGTAGCTTCTGTATTTCTATGAAGGGACAGTCAGGAAGAGAGGGTAGGTCAAAGAATAGGAAGGGGGGACTGGAACCCCAACTCTGAAAGGGAGTTCAGTTCCAAGTGACTTGCATTCAAAGTAGGTTTCCATGATAATGGTCCTGTGGTCTTCTCCCCATTTGTCCCTCCACAGGAATACCTGTTCCGCATGGTGCCTCATTCACTGGAACCAGGCAAGGGGAAATGTCCTTATGACCCCCGGCAGCCCAGCATGGCTGTGCTTATCAGTAAGTAGCTTTGAGTGAGTCAAGTTGGATAAAGTATTGCTAGCTTATAAGGTGCCACTGTGCTGCTGTATATACATCCTTCTGGACAGCACCTATACGTTACCACATGCTGTTGCACATTGGACACTGTCAATCTATAGCTGTTAAACTGAACCTGCTTTTTCTTGGGCATGCAATGGTTGTCCCCCATAGCTGTCACACGATCCCACAAAAATATTGTGATTGGTTTAAGCAGTTGCTGACATGTGCTATGTGTGCGTGTCCATGTGCTCTCTGAATTGCAGGTTTCCTTTGAATCTGAATCACTGCACCATCCTGCTATCTATAGCTCCTATCTGATCCTTGTCACTTTTGCATTTGTTATCGGGGCTGCAGGAAGTAAACAGCTGACTGGAGGGGAACAAAGTACTTGGGAACCGACCTGCAAGAGAAGCTTTCATTAATTGCACAGAAATGCTTGGGATGGCTGAGGTCTCATGTTCAATCCTGGCATTTCAGTTAAAAGGATTGGGGGAAGCAGAGCTAAGAAGTACCATTGTCTGACACTCTGGCAAGGTTGTGCCTGTGGGCAGCAGTATCTATAAGAAGCCACAATGATGCTCAAATGACGCAATGTCTGCAATGATGTCACAACTTAAATGCCACCAATATGTTCTGATGTCACAACGTCTGATGCAAGCACATACACTGTGGCCTTTGTGTGAATGACATCATCACACACACACTGTGTTATTCCCCTACCCCCAAGGATACCCATGCTATTAGGGTAATTTTATTGACAAAGCCTAAGGCACCCCCCTGTATTTTAATGTTCTCAAAACTTCCAGATCTACAGAGTATTCCTGGTTGTGTCCGCACATGCTTACACCCAATTGATGCTCCATTGTTCCTCTTCTTTCTGCCCCCTCCTCAGATAACACACTGTATGCTGGAGTCCACGTGGATTTCATGGGCACCGATGCTGCCTTGTTTCGAACCATGGGGCCGCGCCCAGCTATACGCACTGAGCAACATGATTCCCGCTGGCTCTATGGTAGGAGGCCAAACGCCAGCTAGAGAAAAACAAGGGGGAAAATTGGACTGAATGCTGAGATAACAGACCATTGTGGATAATGCACAGGAGGAGGAATTCCTACAGCGCAAATGTCCTATGCAGCACGGGAGTGGGGGGTGGGGAATGACATCAAGATAGCGCCAGGATGTTTGTGGACATGCCCGTTGCCCAGAGAAAGAGAGGGCAACTTTTCCAGGGTGAGGGCTGCTCTTGGACTTTGACTGGCACGCAGTCAGTGCAATCCAAGAAGTGGGCAGGATCAGGAGAATCATATTGCATTGCGAGCAGTTTGTATGATTACTCCTCCATTGATGTAATGCTTGTTTCTGTCGCATTCAAAATTGTACTCCAGTGACCACCTTGGCTACAAGGCATGGCTTATGGGTGCTGCTTATACCGATGGAGCCTGCAGCCAGTGGAGCCCCTCTGCCACAAACCCAAAGCCTGCAAACTTGATTTTCTCTCCTCCACTCTGTTGTAGCCTCTAGGCCCCTGTAGACAAAAGTACCGCAAGGCATAGGAGTCAGTAGTGACTTGCAGATGAACTGTAAATACCAAGACAATGCGATCTTATACTTTGGACTTGCTTTATGGCAGCACCCCTTCCCGAAAGTTTGCTCCAGGCTAGAGTGCTTGCAATCTCCATCTAGTGGCGAGCCCAGACAATGGCATCTCTTTTTCCCCTTCCTCAGACCCTGTTTTCCTCCAAGCCCATGTCATTCCTGACAGCTCCGACCACAATGATGACAAGCTCTACTTCTTTTTCCGTGAAAAAGCGCTGGAGGGTGCCGTGGGGCCTGCCGTACTCGCTCGGGTGGGACGGGTGTGCCTGGTGAGCAGGGCTTAAGTTGGGGTTTGCAAGAGGAAACCTTTGCTGGGCGGGTGGGGGTGGGCAGAGAAGGACGGAGCTACTGGGAGTTGCTGCTTGAGGCGCGCTTTGCTGGTGATCTCTTCCGCTGCAGAGCTGATGCTCCACTCAGGGATCCTAAAAAACGTCCAAGGAAATGGGTTTGATTCAGGAAAATCAAAATCAATTCTACTTCCACTCTATATTAAGAAAGAATAAGTGGCTGTCGCTTGTAAACCTCCCTCTCTGAGGTGCCTGGCTGGATCTTTAAGAGCAAACATAGTGGGCAAGTGCTGATGGGATGGGAAAAGACTTTCCTGAGAAATAAGCAAGAAGGGTCACATGATGAGGATCCTCCTAAGATTTGCGGAAATGCCAACCGCCTTCGGAGAGGGAAAAATAAAGAGTGAACAGAACGAGCTTTACAACTGCAACTGAACAGGGAGGACCAAGCAGGCTAAGTGGCCCTTGGTGGGAGGTAGATGGAAAGGTGTTGGGGGCAAGGGAAAGGCACACAGAGGTACATCTTCATAGCGAGCAAACCTGTCCCATGCCTGTTGCAGAGCACATATATACCATATGGGCAGCCTAGATGGTAAGTGTGCAAGCAGCCATTCTCTTCTCCAGGGGATACGTAGTCATGAACAAAATTTACTGGGATGTTCTCTTGAAAATCGTCCCTTCTTTTCATAAGGGTTTGCACTGGAGAACTTCCTGGTAGATTTTAAATTTTCCTGGCAAATGAAGGGATGGCCAATGCAACCCTACAGTGTGATGAGAGAGCAGTTGCTATGTAGCACTTCACGGTGAGTTCTCAGGAGTGCAGGCCCTATGAAGGGCTGAAATGGTACTGCACAGCCAAACGGCTTGTTCAGCCCTGGTGAGGCCCAGAGTCCACAACCAGAAGAGGGGAATGAGATCTTCCCTGGAGTCCCATTGTTCTCTTGGCATAGCTCTCTGTGGTGGGAAGTTGCAAAAAATATTTAATCTGCAGATTTTAAATCAAGGGTGAGCAGTTGTTCCAGCCAAAGGAATTCAGCCTTTGGCATGCCAGCAACCACATGTTAAAAGGTTAGATGGGGCCAGGATCAAAACTAAATTTGATTTAATGAAATATATGTTTCAATTAAATTAAATATAAATTTAATTAATTAAATCTTTATAACTTGTTGATTCCTTGTCTTTTAATAATTCCCCCCTTCGGTCCCATTACACATTGCAATTGGGTGACAGCTGTTGGAAGAACCAAGGTTTTTTGAGACCGCGTGCCATTGTTGTACATCTTGGCTTTAGAGTTAAAGCTTCCATGGCATTCAGTTGAGGCCTTCAGATCTGTACCAAGCCTCAAGGTAGCCTTTCTCAAACCGACCCGTGCTGGCCTGGGTCAATGGTAGTTGTAGTCCAGTTCATCTACCAGTCCTTGGGTGGGGAAAGCTGTCCTACTCTGTCCTGCACCCTGATTCAGCATTATTTTTGCTGCTCCCATCCTGCAGGCCGGGATAGTACAAGAACTCCTAGGCACAAACAGCTGTTTTAGCCACCTTGCAGCTCGGAGGTGATTCTGTGTCTTTCTTTTCTCAGGGTTTGTGCATCTGTGCCCTGAGGGATCTCAGGGCCCTGGTAAATCCCTTGCTTTTTTTCAGAATGACGACGGGGGACAGCGTTCCTTGTTGAACAAGTGGACGACATTCCTTAAAGCTCGGCTTGTGTGCTCTGTGATCGGAGAGGATGGCGTGGAGACTTTCTTTGATGAGCTGCGTGAGCCCTTGTTTTGGACAGAGGGGTTTTTAGGAGAGAGGGGACAGGTTCTGGGTTTAGGGATAATGATGAAGGTATGACCTTTGAAAAGAAAATTGGGACAGTGAATGAGGTGGGGGAGGGTTGTTAAAGGATGGGAGCCAAAAATTCTACCTAAGGATTGGGGAGAGATTCCAACTGAAGGACTTAAAGCATGAGCTATGCTCTAACCAGTGACGGGAAAAAAAATAGCCATTGAAATCTAGCATCGGTGCATTATGGCCATCCTGAAAGCCTTTTCTGAGAACAGAAGGCCCAGATGCAGAACTTCAAGCCAGTATAATCTAGCATCCATTTGGACTTGGCAGTGTTGTTTGGTTCTGGCCCTTTTATAAACAGTCCCTGAATTCAGAATGTGAAATGGCCATTCACAAAAAAAGCCAACAACTTATTTCAAGGTCTTTCTCTTTCATTTGCTTCTTCGGTATGTTCTTAAAATTACATTCTCATGCCAGCTGGGAATTTGAAGCATTTGCAAACCCAGCACATCTGGAGGGTTCCAGGTGGAGGGAGATAAACCTCAAAACATGGCCCTGAAATAGATGGGAGACGGCGTCTGGAGCTGTGCATGTAACCCACGCACACGTCTCCCTCAAGGTGCTCGGTTGGTTTGTTTCCTTCCCTCAGGTGACGTTTTCCTTTTGCCGACTCAGGATGAGAAGCATCCCTTGCTGTATGGGGTCTTCTCCACACTGGGGTGAGTAAACCCCATGTGACGGGGGTGGGGAGAGTTGACTTCGCCTGTGCAGGAGGTCCCAGGCGTCACTCCTCTGTCCTTCTGCTTTGGCCATTCTCCTCCAAGGTCAGTGTTCCGTGGCTCGGCCGTCTGTGTTTACTCCATGGCTGACATCCGCACTGTATTCAATGGGCCCTTTGCCCACAAGGAAGGACACAACTACCAGTGGGGACCATACACAGGACGTGTGCCCTACCCTCGCCCTGGAGCCGTGAGTCCCAAACATTTTACTCCCCAAGGGTTCAAGATTTCATTTCCTGTTTCCTTTAATTCTGTAAACTCCTTCCAGTAACCTCTTGGCTCACTACTAATTTTGGATTTCTACTGGATTCTGAGTAAAGCAAGGGAGAAAAAGAAAGCCTGAATCCTAATTGTCTAGTTTTTCTCCAGTTATGACTTTATTGGATCTTTTTCTTTTTTAGTGCCCTGGAGGAACTTTCACCCCAGGCCTTCGCTCCACACGTGAGTTTTCTGATGAACTGGTAACCTTTGTGCGGGCCCATCCTCTGATGTTCCATGCAGTGTACCCCTTGCAGCGCCGTCCTCTCCTGGTGAGGACCAATGTCCCCTATAGTTTCACCACCTTGGCTGTGGATCTCGTGGATGCGGTAGATGGGCGCTACGAGGTGCTCTTCCTTGGCACAGGTAGGTCCAGCACTGTGGATTTCACTTTTCAGCTCCACAAGGGCGCATCTAAGATTGTGGCGCTGGCCTGTGTTACTTTTTAGCTTCTCATTAGAAAAGGCAAAACGGTTGTAATCCGGTTTACTTTTTGATTCTAACCAATAATAGTGAGAATAATAATAGAAAGTATTTACAGTCAGAAAAAAAAAAAATATCCAGATTCAATTTACCCAACAGTAGAATAAAAGAAAACACCCATTGAAAAGACAGTGGGAGATACAGTGGGAGCTATTCCAGCAGCTATGACAGGGTTGGCTTCTAGATTAGCAGGTTGTAGTTAAACCACAAGGCCCCTTATAGCAACTAAGCAGAACTTGGCAACCTTTCTAGAAATTTCAGTTGACAAATCAGCTAGTAGAAAGGTTATGTTTTTCTTATCCAAACTCTCAGGACAGTTGACAAGCAGGAGAATTAAATCAAGGTACCCAACTTGATAGAATGGATATTACAACAGAACATGAAACCAAGAGCAGGAACAAAGAGTATCTTATGAAGGAGAAGTGTTATAGCTCTTTTCTAAAACCACAGAGAGCAAACCATTGAATTTTGCCCAGGAAAGGCTCTTCTCTGCAGGATGGATGGAACGTTTATGATGTTATTGGCAGGGATGAAGGGGCTTCTGAGCAAATACTGGGGGGAATACTCCAGGGAATATAGCTAAATATACCATGAAGTGCCTCAAGTATAGAATAAACTCCACTGAATTCCCATCTGAGGTAAAGCACTATTGCTCAAAATCTTCAAAAAGTTTGGGGACAAGAAAGTGTTTGCCTGGCAACCTAGATTCACAGCTTGCTAGAGAACAGAAATCCATAGAAGGGGGAGCCCACTGTAAAATAGTCCCCATGTTCCTTTGCTTCCCCTTCCCATTTCAGATTATGGGTATTGGGGGGGGGGTGATGATCTCCACATACCGGTAAGTTGACATGAAAACAAGTTTTCCTTCAATGTCCATACAGAAGTGGGTTTTGAAGGTAAACAGCAATAGCTTAATTGCCCTCAGAAATGGATCAGCTCCTATCTGTGGAGTCATGTGCCTTTTATTGAGCAGGCATGCGTGTTGCCTGATTAATGCTTACATCTTCTCTCTCCAGACCAAGGTACAGTGCAGAAAGTGATTGTATTGCCCAAGGAACAAGGGATCTTGGAAGAACTGACTCTGGAGGAAGTTGAGGTGTTCAGGGTGAGCAAATAGACAGCCCAGTCCTGACTCCCCTTTATTATTGTTGTTTGACCACCTCCATTTCTGCTCTTCTCAAGTTTCCCCCCCCCCACTGTTGCCCTATAGGTACCAGCTCCAGTGAAGACACTGTGGATATCCTCAAAGCGAGTAGGTGGTTGTTCAGGATATGTATTGCCAAGAAATTAAATAGGGCACGAGCGTTCCAGTTGCAAGAGTGCTGTTACCTAAAGGGTTACGATATGAGTTGCCTCTCAGTGGGGGAGGGGAGAATGGGATTCTGCAGTCTTACCTTCAGCTCATAAGAGGCAAAGGGGTCTGGGAATAGCAGATGAGTAGCAAAAGCCCTGGATTTATTTCACTCTCCTTCTTTTTGTAGCAACAGCTGTATGTCTCCTCTGACATGGGCGTTTCCCAGTTGAGCCTGCATCGATGCCGGGAGTATGGTGAAGCCTGTGCTGACTGCTGTCTGGCCCGGGACCCTTATTGTGCATGGGATGGGCAACGTTGTGCCCGCTACAGTCACACAGCCAAAAGGTGAGTTTCCAAAAATGCTAATGCACCTTGCAGGGTTTGGAGGCAGAGCCAACCAGGGAGAGATTTCTGCGCATCTCAGTGAGATGGCCAGAATCATGATGAATGTTGGAGGGAGTGAAAAGGGCAGTTCTATCTAGCCAATTGCCTGTGAGAAGCAGAATGTGGCAAGACCAATCCGGACTCCTTGGCCTATGTATTATCTGCTCCCAGACTGATCTAGCAGGTGGCGGCTTCCTCTTTTCACTGAGCTGGCATTGCCCTATTGGCCTGCTGACAGGAACAGAAAGCAGAGTGGGTTAGCAGTCGAGCAGAGGGTTAAACTTAGGGTGTAATCGTGAAACAGACTTTCAGTCATGCACAGATAAACAGACATGAGTCAAGGCAGGTTTGTACACATGGCAAGAAAAAGCTGAGTCAGTTCAAGACACCAGAATCTGGAGTCAGTCCATTAAAAGAGGAGATCAGGGACAGCAAGTCAAAGAACTGCTTGAGGTCTTTGTTTAACTGAAACAGAAAACTTGTCTGTATGTGTATGTGTATATTTATCTAGACCCTAGACAGGACCCAAGATGCAGACTGTGCAGAGAGGCCTCAGAAACAGTCCAATACATAGTGGAGGGTGTAAGATGCAGGCAGGAACAGCATACACTGAACGGCACAACCAAGTAGCTGGCATTATGTACAGGAATATCTGCACAGTGTATGGGCTAGACCCCCCCAAGTCCAGATGGGAGATTCCACAGAAGATTGTGGAGAAT